AATGTGTGAATGGTATTGCTGCCATTGTGAATTTATTTCCCCAATCATAAAGGTTGGAAAATTTCGTCCAAAAATGTAGAATATACCAAAAATGAACTGTGTCTTAAATGTTCACTCTCATTGGAATTCTCAAAAAAATATTGAGAAAAATGCTAAACTGTAATAATCCCTTAATCAGCTTCCAATATTGCTGAGGGCATAAGACAATTGTTACTTTTTATACCCTACACCACAAGGTGGTCAGGGTTTTATGTCTTTGTGCATTTGTTTGTAACAGGCAAAAGGAAACGAGATAGACCCATAGTTCCTTTTGATGATCTGCATAGAATCACTTTCTGAGTTGATTTATGCATGTCAGTCCGTCTGTCCGTCCGTCCGTCTGTCCATGTATTCTTGTGAACAAAATGCAGGTCGTATTTATTATCAGATTGAGATGAAATTTTCCAAACAACATTTGTTTGGCCCAAGGACGAACCCTATTGAAATTGGAGATAATTGGTAAAAATTTAGATGTAGCTCCCATATATATCCTCGTCCCAGTTGCCTTTTATTGTGCACCAGACGTGTAATATCGGCCCGAATTGTATGGAACTTTGCATATACACCCAAATTAGGCCTGAAAATAAGTATGTCAAATTTAATCGAAATCGGTTCAGATATAGCTATAGCTCCCATATATATTGTTCATCCGATTTGTAATTTTTGTCCTCCGCAGCTTTAATATGCACTCTGTAACAACAATATTAGGGGAAATATATCAAATGTAGCTCAGAATTACCTTTGCTAAATTTTATCGAGATCGGTTCAGATTTGGATATAGCTCCCATATATATTGTTCATCCGATTTGTTGTATTTGTTACCCACAGCCGTAATATGCACTCCGTAACAACGATATTCAGGGAAATATATCAAATACAGCTCAGAAAAATCTTTGCCAAATTTTATCGAGATCGGTTCCGACTTGGATATAGCTCCCATATATATCTTTATCTGATTTCAAATTTATTTTGCACCAAATGGGCAGTACAAGTCCGAAGTTAAAAGATAAAAATGCTTCGGCATATTTAGTCCTTTGAATTTTAAATTATAATTATAATCATAGGGTGTATAATTGAATTCTCCGATAAAAACTTTTAATTGTTATGTGGAGCTCAACTAAATTAGCAAAGTTGTGTAGGGTATCATAAAATCGGCCTCGCCCGACTTTAGGATTTCTTTACTGGTTTGTATTATAAGTATACCTTAAGCCTCATGACTATAGAGCAGAGTCGGAGAGAGAGAGCCGCATTTTTAAAATCTCTCAATTTGGTTACTCTCTGATTACATTGTTTTTCGATCGTTCTATTGTGTTTGGAAATAATGGTATAAGACCTCAAAAATTTTTGAACGAAATTTGAAGATTGGCAATGTTGGTCCATTCCTCCTGGTATCACCTACACACATGGTCAACATTTTAAAAAATATTGTCGGTGTGATGCTTAAGAGTTTACATATTGTTGATAGACGAGATAAATATCCGGAAAATTAGAGCAGATATGGGAAAATTTAATAAAATCAGAAAAAACTTACCAGAAATGGTCCATATTTCAAAAAGTCACATGGTAACGACGATATGACCCATAGAAAGGACGTTGGAGCACGGCACATAGTAATATTTGTATCAGATATAAGTCATAGCTCACCAGAAAGATCAAAAATTGATCTAGTATGAAGATAGGATGTGTAGATGAGATGATACATTCCACACAAACAATCGTTCACAAAGACGTAAACAGAACTGGGCCTGATTTCTTGTTCTTAAGCCCCTGGTCTTCGAAACGATTTTGGGGTAGGACTTGTCAGAGAAAAAATTGGATATTTCCGAAAGTATATAAAAAAAAAACTAATAGGAAGACATTGGCGTGAGGTCCTCACGGAGAGATTAATTCAGAAAGCATTTTATCGATTTGAAATCTTGCTCAGACATTTGTATTACTATGTTTGGCATTAAAAATGGGACATGCCGGTCCACATTTCGGTATTGCCCCCATTAAGCGTTACTTTCTGATTTCGGTATTTTGAAAGTTCTGACCGCAATTTTAAACCAATCATGGCATTTAGAGTTCTGAGTAAATATAATTTCTCCTTGCTAAAACATGTAAAAATGCTAATGTACCTCCTAGTTGTCGATATTTTGAAGGTTTCGAAAACAATTTTAAACCCAATCATGAGGTACTTGACATTTTGAGTTCTGAGTTGACAGAATCTCTCACTGCAAAATTTTGTGAAGATATGTCCACTGTTATGTATGGGCCATATATAAAGGCAATTTCAAATTTTAGATATTTTGAGAATCTCTCCCTGCAGAATTTTGTGAAGGCATATCTAACGATACTTCCTAATTTTAGATATTTTGAGGGTTGGTGACAGGGGTTTTTTTACAAACTTATTATTTGGTATTTTATTCCTCAGTTTTTTTATACCCTTAGCAATATGGCTACAGAGGGTATATACCATTTGATACGGCCAAAACGTGTATGATCGAAATAACGGTTTTAGACCCTAGGTCTCTTTGGATCAAATCCGTTTTAGGACATTTGGAGTCGATCTAGCAATGTCCGTTTGTATGTCTGGCTGGCTGGTACGCACGGCAACTCTCGAAGGGAGAATCCGATTTGATCCAAATTTGGCACATTTTAATATTATTTTCAAACTTAGATCGAGTTTGGAGATTGGAAATATCAGTCGAAATTTGGTGTAGAATATTTCGTCTCTTGGCACTTTTTGTCTAAAACGTAGTTTTATGATACATTCATGCATTAATTCGAAATAGACCGAAGAAAAGTCCACAAAGATAAATATCTTCAGTTTGTATGCGACATTGACGTCATCCGTCTAAAATAATGTTTTGTAGGATAATTTTGCATTAAATTAAATATGGATCTTCCTATTTCGCCGAGTCGATCTAATTTGTAATCACTTTACACGTCGCAATTATGGTCAGATCCTTACGAAACTGAAAATGTAGGTAGAGTTAGGGTCAGAGAGAACCCTATTGTTTTTGGAGATGATCGCAAAATATTTAGGCGATCAAAAACCGAAAAAAATCCTGATTCTACAGCTGTTCTACAGGTCACAATTATAGACCAATCGACGCGGAATTTAGCATGGGGCTAGTTTACTGCTGGACAATATTTAGAGGGTAAAATAAACCATAACTTTTATGTCAAAAATACGAAAATTTTCACTAAACCGCGAATATTTTAATCCCGGCGAAAGCCAAATATATTTAAATATCACTTCTGACCGTTACAGTGATACTGATAGCCAAGATATCGGGTACATAACAAAATAGGTACAATCTATATGTGCATGAAATATATGTTAGTTATTCCGCTTATAAGTCAAGAACCGCTGGACTGATTTTGAAAATTCTCAACAATTCGGAATGGTCTCTTGTCGGAAAAGAATAAAATCTAAGAAAATCCCCCAAAAATATGCCACACAAATAAAAAGCAGCTAAGTTCAGCCGGGACGAACTTCTTACACGCTCTTCCATTCGGAAGGAAGTTGAAAATTTCAAAAAAAAAAAAAAACCGTTATATGGGGGTTATACGATGTCGTGGACCTATACAGAAAATTCTCTTTCAGGGGGGAAAGTACTCACAGAGAAGTCCTTTTTTTCATTTTTTCATATTTCACTTAGAATTTTGATTTGTAAATTTTTTATTGTTTTTTACATCCTACAAAATTATGAGTTGAGGTTTTTTATATTTAGGTCGCAATTATCGCCCGATCTTCACGAAATTTAACATGGAGGGTTAGGGTCAAATTAGGAGCAACCAATGAAGAACCAAAGGTAAATTTGAGGCATTATTTCTACAAGGAAATCTACCAAAATGGATTTTGACCTAAGGGGCTTTCAACATAGTGTTGTAGGGTACAACATGACTATAGCCTTGTCTTTCTTATTTTTGTTTTCCACTAATGTCTAATGTCATTAGCCATTAAAAAAAACTTTCATGCCATAACTAAAAAGTTCGACTCAATGTGAATATGTCCTTTGGGTTTGTTAATATAAAAAATAAGATCGTACATCGCCAGTATAAATTTTCCATTCTCCTAATAATTCAAATCGAAGCTTCGAATAAAATAAAATAAAATAAAATAAAATAAAATTAAGTAAATAATTAAAATCTAAAAAATAATTTCAAATAATTTCAAATTTTAAGTACGTTTTGGACCGATCCTAAAATGCCAACTTCAAATACTTGAAATTTTAAAAAAGAGGAATTTTTGTCCCACTTTTTTTATTCGAATCCTAAAACGTTAACCCTATGAAAATTCCTAACTGAGTAATGGATAAAGGTTGGTTGTGTTTGTTTGTATGGGTGAGAATCTTCGTTTTGACATTTTGCATCGAATTGTATAAATGTTTTTGCTTGAATTTTTCCCTTCCTCGCCAGCTTCTTTCTTATCCTGTCATGTATCAAATCAATTTTGTACAAATTTATTTAGTTTCCTTTTTGTGTTTCTTTTTTTTTGCTAAGATTAAAAAATTACACACATAACTTGGCTTCTTTTTTTTTTTTTTTGTATTTATCATTTCATTATCAATTATCATTTTGATTTTATTTCAATTAATTTTGTCTTCTTTTTGTTGTAGTTGTTCGTCTTATCATTGATTTTGATTGAATAGTGATGTTATTTGACTTCCAAGATAGTTTGAAGAGAAATATAACTTATACTAATTTAGAAAGTGTGTGTGTGTATATGTTTGTTTGTATGGTTATGTGTATGGGAGAGAGAGAATAAAAACATAGAAACAAATATTTGATTTTTATCTTTATCTGTATATATTTATATATGTATGTATGTAGGTAGGTAGGTATGCATGTGTATATGTGTGGCTCTTAAAAACTACTAATTACTGATTTAATTAATTTTAATTTAAATTCATAACTATTTTCTGATTCTTAAGTTGATTTCATATCTTGGCCTAAAGTTTTATAAATTTCAATTACTTTACTTTTAAATTTTTATTCGATTTTAACTAAAATTTAATTTAATGTACAATTTTGTATTCTTTTGTTGTTGTTGGGTTTATCCATATTGTTGTTGTTGCTGCTGCTACTGCTGCAGTTGCTGTAAAATTCTTTACAATTTTGTGTCTATGCTAATCAAGTTCCAGACAATACCAGCTATTTCCACTGGCATTTGATTAATTCCACATTCACAGCCACCTCCTGGCCATGAGGTATCTGTGCTGTCTGAGTCTTCAAAAAAATGTTTTTCAAATTCCTGCAAAGATATGGAAATGAGAAAATTTGAATTTAATAATTATACCGTATTATGGAATTATTAGATTTCTAAAGAAAAGTAAAATTTAATTTTGAAATTTGTATTAAATACATGAAGTAGAATTGATGTTGGCTTTGCGGAACATATTCAAGCAAAAATTTGGGAACTGTATGAGCTGAATAACCTATTAAAAAAATTATGTAAACAAACTGCGATTGGAAACACAAATTCTTTGTTGTAAGTGGGTTCCATGATAACCTTTGCCTATCGAAAGGATAACACGTATAACACAACCAGTAGAAAAAAAATATTTTTTTCATTATGTTAGTCATTGATGTTCTCTGGAATACGTGAACAAAGTTACTACTTGCGGACTTTATATGAAAGGTTACGTTAATACCAAGGTTTCTATGTATAATCGGTTACCGTACTTGTTTTGATTCATAAGTCACAGCAATTTTGGTGCAATCACTACGAAATGTGTAATGACTGACTGAATAACTCAATGCTCAGGCGAAACAGCTGGAATCTTGATATTTTGTATATGGATCAAAGTTGGTTTGTAGGGTTGATAGATTTCTGATTTTTTGAAAATTTGAGCTGTAAGTGAACAAAAAGCAGTAACTAAAAATCAAATTCATTGTATTGGGCAAACGGATGAAGCTAGAACTCTGAAATTTGAAATGAGGGTCCCTAATGCGTTATATGAAATTCCAACTATTACGGTATTAAAATACAATTAACTTGGAACCATTTGAAAATATATATTTAAATTTTGGCATTTGGTATATAAATTGCTAGGAAGTGCCAGCTTCTTCATCAACGAAAAGTCTGCCTTAAAATTCTAGATTCGTTCCAACAGTTCGAGTTAAGCCTGTTTAGTACTCAAGATGCACAATTTGTTTAGTTTGACAAATTTTTTAATCAAAACTTCATACATTTCGTATTAAATTCTCAGACTTTCAAGGTTTTATATATTATTCAAGTTCTTCCTTTTTTGGCCAGAATAATGGGAGAATGTTTACCTTTTACACCAAATAAGCCTTCAAAATCGTTCATTTTGAAGTTTGCGGAGGAGGATATTAGTAAAACCATTGCACAATGGACCCACAAATATTTTTCCTGTCCAAAACTAATTCGACGTCCCCATATGTAAATCATAGAAACCAACAATGACCTCTATATCAAATTTCAGAATTTCAACACTATCCCTTCACTTAATACTAACATTATTAACATTTAGTACACATATCAATCCTAGTCACCAACAGTGATCCAAAATTAGTACTTTTCGAACAATTATAGAACGCATTTGCAGAAGCACCACCCGATCTCAACATCAGACACCAACAGAGATCACAATATCATATTTCGGGATTCCAGTTCAATAAATTTACTCAATAGCAAATTTAGTAAAATTTAGTACTTTTTAGTACTTATGGTACACATTTCCAAAATCATCTCCATATCTTAACCACAGACACCAACAGTGATAATTATATGGAATTTAAGGATTTCAGCTCTTTTTCTCCAACTAATACTATATTTAGTACTATTTAATACTTTTCGCACAAGTATAGTACAAAACCACCTCCATATCGTAGTTTTAGACACCAACAATGATATTTATATCGAATTTCAGCCCTATTTCTTTACCCAATACCAAATTTAGTACTATTTAGTACTTTTTGTACAACTATAGTATACATTTCCTAAACCAGCTATCAACAGAGATCTCAATATCAGTATTTAGGATTCTAGCACTATTCCTTCACTATATTTTGTACCTTTAGTATTTTTCGAACAAACACTAGTGCGCATTTACAAATCAGGGCGCATTTACAAACTACCACCAAATCTCAAACACAGATGCCATCTGCAATGAAATTTCAGAACACCACATATATAATACCAATCAGTTTTTTTGTACAATTGTAGTACACATTTCCAAAACCACCTCCATATCCCAATTCCAGATACCAACAGAGACCTCAATATCAAATTTGAGGATTCCAGTCCTATACATTCACCCAATACTAAATTTAGCACCAATTAGTATTTTTCGTAAAAATAACGCACGAATTTCCAACAATAACCAAATCTCAAATACAGATACTGATTTTAACTGAAATCTAAATATCAAATTTCAGGATTTTATCTCTATCCCTTCACCCAATACCAAATAGAGTACCATTCAGTACTTTTCGTACAATTTTAGAACACATTTTCGAAACCACCTCCATATGCCCAGGCTACACATGAACAACATTATCTGATAATAACGACCCTAATACCAAAATTAAGATTTCAAACACGATATGTTCACCCAGTACCAAATTGTACCAAATATAATACTACTTATTACTTTTCGTACAATTATAGTACACATTTTCGAAACCACCTTCTTTAATCAACCCCAGTTTCCAAGAATTGTTTCTCATACCAAATTTCAGGATTTTATCGCTATCCGTTCACGTAATTCCAAATAGTACCAAACTAGTACATTTTAGTTCTTTTGGTACATGTACTGTTAGAACTTCGAAAAAAATCCTTAAGTTTGTCTATCCTACACAACATCAGGACTCTTACTCCAAATTTGAGATTTTCAACTCTATTCCTTCGTCAAATACCAAAATTAATACTATTTAGTACTTTTCGAACTATTTAGTACGTTTTTCTGAATCTGCCGCCATGTATCATCCAAATCGGGCAAATGGTGATCCTAATGCCAAATTTTAGACTTCCAATCCGATCCCTTACTCCAATACCAAATTTAGTACCATTTATTACTTTTTAGTACGTATTCCAAAAACCACCTCCAAATCTGAACCCAACCCACTAACCACGATTTTATGTCGAATTTCAGATTTCAAGCAGTAACCAGGAACACAATACCAAATTTAGGACCATTTGGTACCTTTTTTCCGTATTTCCAAACCCACATTCTTATCTTAACCCTACCCTCAGATAAATCCGTATAACCAAAACAAAATTGTACCGAATTTAGTACCAGCTGTTACACTTAGTACAAATTTCCAAAAACACCTATTTATATCAACTCTACTTTCCGAACTCAATTTTTATACTAAATCTCAATATTTTATCTGTATCCATTCAAAAAATACTAGAGGGTACGAAAATACGTAATTTTTAGTACACTTCTGGTGTAAAATTACAAAAACACAATCTTATCACACACCTACGCAGTAAGACCGACCCTCGTGCAAAATTTCAAGATTCAAGTTTCTGTCGTCTTGTGTTGGCGCTTATAAGCTCTGTTCTAATAAGCAAAACGGGTCCGACCATATCCTTTCTAATTTTATTTTTGCAATAATAATTTTCTACGTTTTTGTGGTTGGTGATCCAATTTTAATTACTTTCGCCCAGCAAATTATTTCTATTTTTATTTCAAATAAAACAAAAAAACAAACATTGCCAAGTCAAAATAATTTTTTTTTAATACCAACCGTTCACTTGACATAAGTAGCACAACGGCTGCACTTGGCTGTGTGGGTGTGTTTCTCTGTGTGTTTGAGTGTGCTCGATTCCTTTGCTGCTTGTTTTCTCATTTGTCCATTCTTGCCGCCTGCCATTGTCCTTTCTATGCTGAGCGGACATTCGAATTCCGGATACACTCGGCAATTATAGCCAAAATACAAAATGAAGTGCATAATTGGCCACATCTTTAATGAATTTCAACTCAAAGCAATTGCCGTGTCCGAGAAAAAAAGAAATCGAAAACAAAAATGGAACAACAGAGCAAAGGCAGTAGGAAAACAGGACACAGAGCAAGAGCAAGAGAAACGAAAAACCAAAGGCAAGGGTAAAGCAAATAGAATGGTGTTAACAGTTGACTTTTGCTCCATTGTTGACATTTGCCATTGCATTTCGTTTCGCACAACTCTGCCGTTCGACGGCGGAGAAGTCTAGCAGAAGGTCGGTTGGTTGGTCTGTGGGTCAATACAACGCAACACCGAACAAAAGAATTTACGGATGTTTGTATTTTGTTTAATTAAGAAAAACAACCCAAAAACTTTTCAGCTGTCGTCTCGGATGATTTTAATTTAATACTCTTGCCAATGCTGGTGTTCGCTCGTTCGCTCGTTCATTCGTTTATCCGTTCGTTCGTTCGCTCTATCCCTGGTCCCAGCTGTAGTCCGAAAACATTTAACACCCAACAATTTTTTCTTTTTTTTGGATGAAAATCCCTTAATGAATACCGTTAATTTACGCAGCAAATTGTAAATGAAATGGAACCGGAAGGAGACTGAAATTGATAATTAAATGAAACTTTAGACAATTATTAGGAATCATCAACGACAAGTTGTTGCATTCGTTCGGGGGTGTGGATAAGGGGAATGGGGGTATGATTTCACAAAGAGCTTAAAATGTTGTGACATTAAATTTAGTTTGGAAAGAACTGTTAATATTTTTTCGTAGATCCGGAATAGGAGGAATGGAATGAAGGTAGATTTGACCATATTGCTGTGTCTTTATTTTTCAGCAATGTTTCATCGTATCTTTGGTGGCATAGCAAAGAGCATCACGAAGACCATTTGGGTATTCCACCAGCTATTAAATATCAGACTAAATATCAAAAGTTGGTTGCATTTTGTTTAAATATTTTGGTATTGAGTGGGGAAATCAGTCTTTTAAGACAGGTTTGACACAGCTCATACGGGTTTAAAATAGTGCTGTGTTCATGGATTCCGGTCGCGTATGAGCGATATGAAATTTATGAAATCACTCATACGTTTAGGAAGTGATGTACTGAAATATAAAGCGTTGTAGGTCGAAAAAAATGAATAAAACCAATTGAATGCACGACTACCCAATGCTTTAATCTCCTTTACCGATTCGGAACCAACGACTATCCCTCCCACAACTGGAACCAAAGTCACGATGTCAGCGTAAAATTACAAGTTTATTATACCCTTAGCCCTCTCTTTCATTTGTTACTGCCAAAACGTGCCTCATCGAAATAATGATTTTAGACCCTA